TTTTTTTTTTAACACTAAAACCTCTGCATTAATTGCAGTGTTGAGACTTTAAGGGGGTTTTGGGTTGCAGTTTGGGTAGTAGTCTCTAAAAAGTTTGCTACCACTGTTAGGTTATATGAACATACACTACCTATCTTCCAACCACTCTTGCCAAAGCAGCTTATACATATATATATGAAATAAAAATTAGGTAAATACCACTTCTTAATTTAAGAAAGAATTATGTAAGAATGGGATTGAAGGAAATATCTTCATGGAAATAATATTCGATTCAAGCACATCTGTTTCAATTAACTCTTATCATAAAAGCAAATATTGAATCACATGGTGTTAGGGAAAAGTTAATTACTCATTATAATTCCAGTCTTCTATCCAAAATAATTTCCAAATTTTGGAAGAGCAATTGGGCCAGGACCTCACTGTAGACTTCCAAGACATAACATAAAGATTTTTTACAGACACAAAGCATTATAAGAGCACTACTATAATAAATACATTTTTAGAAAAGCATAAAATAGCTGAAGCCAGAGATGGAGCTTACAGGCAAAGCAAAAGGTCAATTTTTTAAAATAGCCAACAATATTAATTTTATTTGCATTTATTTTATGCTTAATTTATTCCCATGCCATAAGTTTTTGTTTCTTCAGTTTCTTTTGGGATACCTTTTTCTTCTGTGCAACTTCCTCCTCTGGTCTGGGAACAATTTGTTCCTTTTCTGTAAGGCTCATCTCAGTATGGCAGGGGGAGCTCATGTATGGATTAATCCAGCCATGAGCTCTGTAAGTACGGCAGCACATCTTGGGTGCTTTGTTTATCTGGATATGTTCAATAACCAGAAAATCTACATCTAAACCCTTAAGCTCAGCCTTACTCTGCATTTTTAAGCATGTGCAGCAAAAATTCAGCACTTTTTCTGGGCCACCGACCCTGTGTCCAGCCCCACTGTTTGGCCTGGGCACACCTACCAACTCCACCATTGTAACACCGGAATGGCACACATTGCTTCTTTAATGTGA